GCTCCCTTTCCAGGAGGTGCTAGAAGGGCTGCCCTGCCTCCTACCTTCCCGGTCTCACTGCCATCGAGGTGGTGCTGACTCCCAGCGACTGGAGGAAGGGTAGAACTGCCCCCGTGGGTTTCTGAGGCCGTCCCTATTTCCTAGAGCAGAGCCTCCGCTTGCGCCCACAGAGCTGGTGGTTCACAACCACCAGCCTTGTGCTTAGCAGCCCGCGTGCAGCCAGTACGCCACTGGAGAGTAGATAACCTGAGACGGTCTCCTTGTTTTCTCTGTTTTACTTGGCTCTGCCACACACCTTTGTCTTATGACCTCTGGCCCTACCCAAACAGTCCCCATCTACCAGGTTCACAACCTCTCAGCACCATGAGGGGTCCCAAACCTCCCCAGGAAGTAATGCCTTGTAACCCTGCTGGACTCAGGAAGAGCTTGCCTGGTGGGCACTAGGAAACGGCTCTGCTCCAAACCCCCACCTCCCTGTCTTACCCCAAGGGGCTGCTAACACTGCTGCTCTGAAGCTCGGGGAAGGGAGTTCTGGGAACTGCCGGCGAAAGGTGATAGCCTGTCGATGATTGGCTCTGCTCCCCAAAGCTTGGTGTGGGGCAGGGACAGCGCCAAGGTGTTGGAGAGCCTTTGGGGCATTAATGGTCTGCGGGTTATATGACACAAATGTCAGGACCCGGACAGAGCACGGTACTGGCAGGGTAATGTTTCAGATCTAGGAGGGCAAGGGGGACTGGGTCATGTCTCTCAATTCTCTAGGAAAAATCATTCGGAGTGATTTGTTCAGGCAGGAAGGTAGAGTGTTTCCTGTTCAGTCCTCCTGTGCATCGCAGGGGAAAGACACCGTTCCACCCACCCTCAGCATCTGTGCAGCTGTTTAAACAGTCAAGGCTCCCCAACACCCAGCCCTAGCCTGCAGGGCACGCCCTGCTGGCTCCACCTTGCCTAAGTTCTTGGGAGTGGAAGGCCTCGTGGGCTCCCTCTACTGACAAGAGGCCAAGCTGCAGCCATTTGGCTCTGCAGGCTCTTCCCCAATCACTGTTAACCTGGACACCTTGGCTGCAGAGAAAACGCTTGGGAAAACCTCAGAAGCAGCTTGGCGTTGTGTTCTGCGCAACCACACACTCCATTCGGGGGAGATGTGGGCCGACCACAAGAAACCCTACCTCCGAGGCGCCAGGAGAAAATTAGATGTCGTGGGGAATTGGCTGCCCTTGGCTGGCCCTTCTGCAATCAATTGGGTTCTTTAATTACACATTTCTTTTTCCTTTTTTTTTTTTAATTTGGCCTCTGAGAATTTCATTTTCTTCCCCCCTATTTTCAGCACGATTCCAGAGATGGAGTCGGCAAAGTAGAACACCTGTGGCCTGTGAAGGGTGGCCGCCGTCCGGCAGGAAAGTGGGGTGGGGAGGGGTCAGCCTTCAGGAGAGGTTTGGGTTTGGGCTGCTGGTGCTTTTTTTAAAGGCAGGGTTGCGAGGATAGAGGAGGAAATGAAACAAACAGGAACATGATAGAAAAACCAATGCTCTCCCCTGTAAACCTCCCCCCTCTGCGCTGTAATGAAAAGCTGGCTGAGTAAGTCAGTCCTCCCTGACCATCCCCTGGGGGTGCTGAGATCTGTTCCCAAGATCGGCCCTTGGCACTGTTAGAGATATTCCCTTTAGCCAAGCCTCAGTCAGCCCAGGTCGAAGAGAAAAGAAAGGTTTGGGTCATCGGCCTTTGAGCCCCTCACCCTGACCGGTGGCTTTGCCTGCCTCCATGTTCTTGTAAGCCATTCCTGTAAGCCACCTGGTGTGCGTCTCGGTGGAGGGGCTGTGAGAACGGAGGGGGCTGGTTAATCCACAAACAGAGCAGCGGCCGGCCGGTGCTGGAACACCAGCACCAGCTGCATCCCCGCTCTGGGGGCCTTCAGGCAGGCAACCAGGACTCTGGGAGAGCACATGTCCAGGTCTGCTCCACAGGGAGCTGGCTGTTGATTGGGCACCTTCTGGTGCCCATGAGATCACCACTCTGAGGGTGACAGTGGTGATGTCCAGGTGGGCAAGGCCCGCGCGCGCGCGGGCTGTAAACTCACTTTGGACGGGGATGTGGAGGTGGGGGCTGTCCTGGCCCTGGGGATGCCTCCAGCTGCTAGAGCTATCCCGGCCCCCTCCTCCCCGCAGCGAGGTACCCCCCCCCGCCCCAGCCACGCTGTCTGAGCAATCACGCTGCCTCGCCCTGTGCGCGCGCTCTCCCCCTAGACGCATCTGACCTTCGGGAAGGAGTTCACAGAAGCGGTGGAAGCCAAGCAGGTGGCCCAGCAGGAAGCTGAGAGAGCCAGATTTGTGGTGGAGAAGGTGAGTGTGCCACCAGATGGCCGGAGCCTCTTCCCTTTCTTCTGGGCCCCACGTCCCCCTTCGCTGGGTGGCCGGGAATTCATCACCTGTCATCTCTGCTTCCGGGCTAATCGAGAGGGAGTTTGAAGGAACCATGCTCCCACAATTGGTTCCAGTCTCGTTGGGGCCAGCGGGGACGTGTGAAGTCAGGTTCCTGACCGCTCGTGGGTCGTTTGTCTCGGCTTCCCTGAGATCAAAAACACTCGCCTACAAATTGAAAAATGGCTCGCCCGGGATGTCTCCCACGTTGCTGGGAAGTCATTTTTAACCAGGTTACCCAGTGAAAGCTGACAGCAGAGAGGATCAAACGTTAGTTAGCCAGATGCGCTATCTTGGCTTGATCCCTTCCCCCCCCCCCAGCACTAAATCCATCCAGCTGTATCCAGTAGAGTGATGGGATTCAAGCTGTTTGCAGAGCGGCCTGCTCTTTGCAAACGTGCATTTCTTTCCTGTTGCCCCCGCCGCCGCCACACACCCAGTCACCACTTGCATTATCCCTAATCCGGGTTCTTCTTGCCCGTCCACAAAGCTGAGTCAGGTCTGAGCTGTACTGGGGATGGCGAGAGTTGCCCTCACCCAAGCAGAGGGAAGCTGAGGCTGGGGGTTCCCCACCCCCTCCGCCCTCCCCTGGCCTTGGATGGCCCCAGCTCAGAGCCAGGCAGCTGAACAAAGTGGCTGCGCGTGTGGATGAGCCTTTGAGAAGGTGGCCTGTATGCCTGCAGCTGTCAGGATTGGAGGGAGGGGGGAGATGGAGACCACTGCAGCCCCCCGGGAGCCACCGTGAGTGCCCAGTGGTGACCCCTTGGGCTGGTGGCCTGCCGCCCGGGCCTGTGAGTTCAAGCAGGGCCTCTCCCCACCGCCAGGCTGAGCAGCAGAAGAAGGCGGCCATCATCTCGGCCGAGGGCGACTCCAAGGCCGCTGAGCTGATCGCCAACTCGCTGGCCACCGCCGGGGACGGGCTGATCGAGCTGCGCAAGCTGGAGGCGGCGGAGGACATTGCCTATCAGCTGGCGCGCTCCCGAAACATCACCTACCTGCCACAGGGCCAGTCGGTGCTCCTCCAGCTGCCACAGTGAGCCCGCCCTGCCCGCCGCCCAGCAGATGGGCGACACCTTCCTTTGGCCCCCACCCCAGGAATCACTGTGAAATCTCATGATTGGCTTACATAGTGCAGAAAATAAAGTCACTTCAGATCGCTTCCTTGCACTGCCCCGCGAAGCTCTCGTTCTTGCCGCCTCCACGCCGGGCCTTTACCACACCCCCTGCCGAGCCCACTACTAAACTTGCCAGGTGGGTGCCTGTGCAGACCGGCTTCGGGCCCTCTGGTGGCCGGCGGGCGCGTCAGCCTGGACACTGGCGGCTGACGGCAGAAAGGGGGGCCAGGAGCACTGCAGATAGGCAAACCTGTAGCCCCCAGCTCTCAGGTGTGGTGGCCTTGCTGGCACAGCTGCACGCAGAAGGCACAGAGCAGCTGAAGGGGCGCTGGGGCGCCGGTCAGGAAGTAGCCTCTCGCTTACCATAAGGCTGATGCTCTAACTGGGGGCCAGCGGAAGCAGGTGTGTGCAGACAGCGTGGACTGAAGGCTCTGGCCCCCTTAAGGTGGGTGGGCCTGCTTTTGCTGTCCCCCAGGACCCCTAGAACTGAAGTGGACTTGGATAGGTGAGAGAGGAGGCCTGGACTGGACTGAGATGTGAGGCTGTGGAAGGCTTCCGCTCCACCTCCCGCCTCAGTCCGCCTCAAATACTCCAAGGACTTCCCCATGAAGGATTGCATCCTGCCGGCTGGACGTACCTGCCAAAGACGTGTGAGGCCGGCGTTCTTGGCGACTGCCCTTGTAGAGGGCTCAGAAAAGGCCGTGGGGAAACGAGTGTGGGTGAGCTCAACACATGACACCCAGACCTTCCAGCGCTGCCTGACGGGGTTGGGGGGGGGTGGACCTCCACTGTGAGCCTGCAGTGTTCTCGCCGGCTCTGTGTGCACGTGTGTGAGGCCAGCTGGGGCAGAAAATGCTGTGCTTTCAGAAGTGCTTGGCGCAGCGCTCCCAGATCCATCCCAGCCCAGAAGTGGGTCTCAGTGTGGGTGGGGGGGTCAGCAGACAGGGTGGCTGTTGCAATTGGTGCTAGAAGCCCTGGTGGTGTAGAGGTGAGCCGTTAGAAACCACCAGCTGCCCCTCGGGAGCAAGACAGGCTCTCCACTCCCACAAAGAGTTACATTCTCAGAAACCCGCAGGGCAGTTCTACCCTGTCCGTCAGGGTCACTGAGTCAGCATCGACTCCGTGGCCGGGAGTTTGGCTGGGGATTTTGGTTTGCCGTGGGTATTCCTGCGAGCCCTGGGGATGCAGTGGGCGAAGTGCTTGGGCGACGGGGCGGTGTGAGGCCGCCAGCCGCTGTGCAGAGGAAGCGTGGCTGTGTGCTCCTGCAAGGGTTTCCCACAGCCTTGGAGGCCCTGTGAGCATCTGCACGAGGCCCTGTTGGCATCGACTAGATAGCAGGGCGTTTATTCCTAGGTGGGACTCAGAGGCCTGCCCTCGGCTGCCACCGACTCTGCCCCCTCCCTCCTCCCTCACAGGCAACTAGCAGGAATGCTCCTGTGGGGTATCCTAGGTGACAGCCTTTGGGACTTGGGGGTCAGTGGTGGGCTTATGCGGCGGCCCCTTTGATAAGAAGTGAGTTGGCAAGGCTGGGGGAGCAAGTGCAAATTTTGGATGGTGGGAAGGCCACCCATTTTAAGTCTCTTTAAGCACGAGGTGGGAGCGCCTCGTGCGTGTGGCTTTGGGAGGGCTAAACTGCTCTCTGCCCTCCTTCCTCCTGAGCTCAGCACTCCGGTCGACCAGCTGCCTGCTGAGGGCTGGTCCCTCCTGGTTCTGTTTCCTGTCCTGAGTGATCAGGCCAGCCATCGGCTGGGGCCCGGGGCATCTGATGCACAGATTGGGTGTGGAGCAGGGGTTGAGTTATCTGGTCGTACATCCACACCTCTCCCAGGGCCGCCCTGCCATCTCTCATGGGGAAGCCGGTGATGGGCTCGGGCCTTCGGCTGAGCCATACACGTCTGGACCCCTGGTGGCGTTGTGAATCACACCTTGGGGGGCTAACTTCCAGGCCAGCAGTTTGAAACCACCAGCCGCTCTTTGGGAAGAAGATGAGGTTTTCTGCTCCCGTGAAGCTTGACCGTCTGAAAAGCCAAAAGGGCAGTTCTACTCGGTCCTCTGAAAACCCACTGCCATCGGCGAGGTGATGCCGACTCCTAGTGACCCTATAGGGCAGGGTAAGACTGGCCTTGTGGGTTTCCGGGCCTGAGAGTAGAAAGCCCAGTCTTTCTCCCAAAGAGGCTGGTCGTTTCGAACTACGGGCCTTGCAGTTAGCCCAACAATAAGCGGTCGCCGTGTTCCATAAGGTGTCAGAATGAGCTCGATGGCAGTGAAGCGTTCGGTTTGGTTTGGGTTTCAATCCTATCCCGTGCCCCATCTCCCCACCTTCTCCAGCATCATTCCCACCCCCGACCCCGACCTCAGGGTGCCTCTGCCCTCTCGTGGTGGTCTTGGAAGTACACGAGGCCTGCACATAGGAGGTGCCTGGACTGGAAGGGTGCAAAAGACCAGAGCAGGAAGACGTACGTCCTAAATCAGTTCCAGACCCACTTCCACGTTGCAGCCCTCCTTTCCTGGCGTTTATGGCTTGGGCTGCCCTCTGGGGGCCAGGACAGGGGGCTCCTTTCGCTTCCCCAGGCCCTGTTTCCTGCCGTTGGTGAGCGATTGGGTTTCATGCTCCAGGTGTAAGCAGGGGAGCCCTGAGCCCAAATTCCCCTCCCAGCTTCTGACCCTCCTGCCCTGGGGCCAGCCCTTTTAGCCACGGGCAGGTGGGTTCCTGCTGGCTCTGCTCTTAGCCTCCCTGCCGTAGCTGGCAGGGGCACATCCCAGCAGCAAACTGGGGCCTCCTGCGCTACGTTGACTTCCACCGAGTAATCCTTGTCACAAATGTTCAGGGCCTGTTCACGGGCAGCTCAGTGGCCTCTGAGCTTCTCCAGACGCTGCACAAAGGCCCTTTATCAGCCATGGGTGCTCGGCCTTGGCTCAATAGCTATGTCCAGGAAAGGGACAGAGCAGGAAGCGTCTTCCTCTGCCTCCCCTGTGCTCAGGCTGAATAGTCCCTTTGTTCATGCTCCAAGGGCCCCTGGACAGGGAGATGAGACGAAAAAGCCTTCATGGGCTGCCATTGCCCATACTTTTGCGAGTTTTCAGCAAAGTATGCCAGTGTGACTGAGCAGACTTGGGATCATCCCCCACCCAAACCTACTGCCATCATGCCAGCACTGCCCCACTACAGCCGTATAGGACAGAGAAGACCTGCTTCTGAGGGTTTCTCAGCGTGTCGTCCGTGGGGGAGCAGGCAGCCTCATTTTTCTCCCATAGAGCCTTGAACTGCCAACCTTGGGGCTCGCAGCCCAGCATGTACCCCTCTGGGCTACCAGGACAACTCAATCATCCCTAAGTGGGTTGATTTGAAAGCGAATGGAAATGAATAAATAAGAAAGCTAGTGGAACCCTAACTTAGCAAATGCTATTCTAATAGAAAGGAGCCCAGGGAACCCTGTGGAAAATGCCATAACCCCTCGGTAGGATCGCTGTGAGTCAGAATCAACTTGATGGCTGAATTTTTGGGTTTCTCCTAATAGGAAGTCCCTGGGTGGCTGGCACTCTGCTACTAACCAAAAGGTTAGTAGTTCAGATCCATCCAGCAGCGCCGTGGAAAACAAGTCGTAAGGTGGTGGTGCTGGTGGTGCTGGTGGTGCTGGTGTGGGCCATAGAGGCCTGTGTATTTTAATATGCAAGACATCCAAGAGCCCTGGTGGCGTGACAGTGAAGCGCTCAGCTACCAGCCAGAGATTGGAGGTTGGAACCCACCCTGAAGTTCTGCAGGGGGACGACCCCCAGGTCTGTGCTTCCATGGAGATTACAGTCACCTGCAACTGAACCCAGGGACGTGGGGGCAAACTTAGGGAAACTTCCTGAGGGTAAACAAACACCTGGAGGGAAGGAGCTGCTGGCCCTGGGCGATCGAGGCCGTAGTCATGAGGGAGTCACTGGGGTTGACAATCCACAAAGACAACGTTGCGCATTCTATTTTGATGAGTAGTGACAGGTGTCCTGAAAGTTCGAGTGGCCAATCGAAGGTACATCTCAGTCGCTCCTGGGCTGCAGGAGAGAACCGGGACACGTGGACACAATCAGTCCAGTGGACTGAGGACCTCAGAAGAATCGGGCCGCTTGACCCTGAGACCAGAAGAACTAGATCCCCAAACTTGACTGCTGATTGGAGTCACCTGGGGATCTGGTACAAACTGCAGATCCCTGGGCTCCGTTTGCAACCTAATGAATCAATCTCTCACCCAGTGGTTCTCAACCTTCCTCATGCTGTGACTCTTTACTACAGTTCCTCATGTTATGGTGACCCCTGACCCATAAAATTATTTTTGCTGCTACTTCATCACTTTAATTGTGCTACTGTTATGAATCAGGCAACCCCTGTGAAAGGGTCGTTCGACCCCCAAAGGGGTCGCGACCCACAGGTTGAGAACCGCTGCTCTAGGGAGAGGAGCCCAGGAAATCTGACTTTTCACCAGCTCTCCGGGTGACTTCAATCCTCAGCCACGTTTGGAAACTTAGCCACCAGAGAGGTACCTGGTTACAGCTAACAATTACACGGGAAAGGGTTGCATTAGAAGGTCCTGGCTAGAGTGGGAGAGGCGTGTGGACCAGAACTCAAAAGCTAGCAGGTTCATTGGTGGGCGCCTTCAGGTGTGGAACTGAAGTCGTCTCCCAAGAGACCCGGAGTCACCGTTCAGATCAGGGATTTAATTCACCTCCCTGTTAGAAAAATAAACGATTTAAGATCGACAGGGTAGTCGTTGCCTGAGGACAGAGGGCTCAGGAGGAGGATCGGAAGCAGGGAAGCCTGGGCAGAATGGGACAAATGCTGGTAAACGGAGGGTGCGAGAATGGATGACTTGCAAGAAAACATGTCTGAGTTGTTGAACGGACACCTCAGAATCAGCTCTGTGCACTGTTACCTAATTATAATAA